CGATCTTCCGGAGTCCGATGTTTATAAATACGCAGGCGTTGGCAAATCTCACATAGCCAAGCATTTTAGTAGCAAGCTAGGATATAAAACGTTGTTTGTAGTCCCCCAGAATAGCTTTTCGCAAAATATAGATGATGGAGCCACGAAGCAATCACTACGAATAAATTATTGAGGGGCATACGATGAAGATCAGATTCTATTCGGTACAAGAACCTGGAAAAAGGAACCCGAATGCCGAACGCCGAGGAGACTGGCCTTTGAAGCTTCAATACGTGGGAAGCCCGAATTTCGAGGATCTCGCATATCAACGCCTCCCGACCTTCGCGGAAAAGTTCAGGGGCTTGGCGACCCCAGGCTTCAAGTTTGGAGCGCCTCCTGATGCCAGAGGCTACCGGACTGAGCCGAACTGACCAGCATCGTGGCACAAAGGCCACTCACTGCGTTTGTGCTGAGCTTGACAAAGGAGAGAGCCATTGCAAGCACCAACTGTGATGTATGCAGATACTGCAGCTTCTACATGTTAGCGAATGAGCCCGAGGAAAGAAGAGTGGCCGTCGAGGATGGTTGTCAGGCATGGCGCCATTTTGTAGGGACTTCAGAGTTTATGGCCCGAGGACATTTAGGGTTCAGGATCCAAGTGTCTCGGCGTCGACAACATTTGTAGGCCTAAAGCCACTGCCCCAACCGCCAAAACACACCCGGAAATCAGGGCTTTGCGCTTCAATGCAAGAAGGTGTTGAGGTGATTCGGTTCATCTTGACCAATCCCGAAGTCCAGGATGCGGCCTGGATGCAATCTTCACAAGTTTCGCGCATGTTTCGAAATCCGTGGCTGAAAAACACCGCAAGTAGGAAACTCAGCCGTTCACCAAAGGACTTGAGCACCCATCAACCTATAGCCCCAAGTCGCCGAAGCTTGAACCTGGGAGGCTTGAAACATTCCTTCAAGGATGCGGGCAAGTCGAGTAAGAGCACGTCGGAAGGCTGGTCTGAAAAGTTGGGGGGCTGCAGAGGTGGGAGCTTCTGAAGATAGGAAACCAACCCTGTGAAGTCTCGAATGGGAATCCTATGATGCGCAGGACCTCGAAACATTTTGACCCAGCCGATCCTTACTTTCGAGCCCTTCAGCTGATGGAGGGTGTGGTGTGCAGTCACTGTTTGGTGTTTCCGGTTTCAGTGTGGTGTTTTGGAAGAACGGTGGTGAATGAACCCCAGCTTGGCTCTTGACTCAGCTTCCTGGGCCTTCCCCATGTGGATGATCGTCGTCTTGATTTCTAGGGACCTCCAAGCCAAACTAGGAAGATCATCATGCCGCACCGGTCATACAATCATACCCAAAGCAATTGCTCTGACCTGAAGAATCCGGCAGGATCATCTCGGCAAGAAGACGCTTGGCAGAATTGACCTCCCGCCAGGGCTTCTAGGGCTTAGGTTCAAAGCTTAATGCGAGCTCAGGGTGCTACCACCATTCCGGGCCAAGACATGTGCCGCACCTGAGTCCCGAGATTCGGGCTCTTGATCTGGACTTGTCCAGAATGGCGAGCGTTGTGATTCAGGATACGTCAAAGCCAAAGCCACCGTTTCCCAGAACGGATAAGAGACACCCGGAAAAGCTTTAGTTAAGAAAATTTGAAAGGCCTCTATAAGGTCTCAAAGGCAGAGGTGGCTCCGACTGGCATGTCGCCACGTCCCCACGGCCCTGAATCCGCTTTGCGAGCCGCACGTGGCTTCAGGGGTAAGCAAATCCAAAGACCCAAGACACCCCCACCCCCATCGAGGCGCGGCTGAGGGAGGCAGCCGCTGAGCTGGCATCCTTGCAGGAGGTTCGCCGCTGATTCAGAGTTGAGAGCCTTTCAATGTTTTCTACAGGCTCAGGACTCAAGCTACGTAGCAAGGCTTTAGGGATCGTCGGGCTTCGATACTCTCCCGTGCTGGAGGAGGTTGAGTGGCCATTTTGTTCAGCCGAGTTCATCCCTGGTACAACCTGAACTCGCCCTAACCTTGCAGACCGTTTTGTATACTGTCAAGTCATACGAAGTAATTCCTCGTTACCTTTCGGATGGGACAGGTCTTTTTCATTTTAGGGGTTTGGCATCTGGGTTGGTGCTGTGCTATACTAGTCATGATAGTTTAACAGGCTTAGCGTTTCGTGATCAGCTGCGTTCCGGACCACTGGAGGATCAGGGTGGCCGTCGCCGTGAAAGGTCAAGATCAAGATTACCAACAACAACGACAACCACAACCACAACAGCAATAGCAACAACAGCAACAAGAACAACCTCCAATCAACAACTGTCATTCGGATGCCTACGAGTAAGAATCGGGATGCATGCCCTTCCCGTCCTTTGCTCACCAAAACGTGCTTCCTGGAGCTTTCCCTGGAAGGCCGTCCGACGGCTACAGCATCAGCGTCAAGAGGCTCGTGCGTCTCAGGGTCCAGACTGCGGGTGGACAGCTTTACGATTGAGGCTTAAGCTTAACAGGGAAACGTATTTTGCTTGTTGTAAAACGAACCTTGATATATTGAAACTACACACACACATGTGTGTGTGTGTGTGTGTCTGTCTGTCTGTCTGTCTGTCTGTCTGTCTGTCTGTCTGTCTGTCCGTCCGTCCGTCTGTCCGTCCGTCCGTCCGTCCGTCCGTCCGTCTGTCTGTCCGTCCGTCCGTCCGTCTGTCTGTCTGTCTGTCTGTCTGTCTGTCTGTGATCCTGCGGATACACGGG